AGAGAGAGAGAGAGAGAGAGAGAGAGAGAGAGAGAGAGAGAGAGAGGAGGAGGAGGACCACATCGCGCTCTGCCTGCTCTCAGCTGCTGGTTCCTGGTTACCAAGCAGTTACTGTTTTTCTGACGGTTGCGGAGGCTGTTAATTGAAGGAGCCCTCTCAGCATCTTTGGTCCTCCTCTTTCACTCTTCTCGTTTAATTCTGAGAGGCAGAAAGAAAGGGAAAAAAAAGAAAGAAAGCAAGCGTGAGAGAGACCGTTCAGATAGAGGCAGGAGATTCAAGGTGCTGTATATTTTGATGGCAATCAATATGTGCTCGCGCTCTCCCCACTGGTGATGAAGTGATGGGTTAGTTACTCATCCGTATTCCTTTAGCTGGGGTGGCTTGAAACACTTCCACAGTTGCACACTCACTCTCTTTCTCTCTGTCTCTCATGCACATCCGGACAAGCAGACCCACACATACACACACACACAAGACCTGTGAAATCCTGTTTGTCACTGCAGTGGGTACAAGTAGGTGAACATGACTACAGCTAAGGAGCAAAGTGCTTCAGGAAAATCAGTCCAACAACAGGAACAGGTAATGGATTTTCTTTTTTGGAGAACAGATAGATATTTTGAATGCATTTTATGCCTCTCGGTTGGTTTGCTTGCTCCCCTTTTATTTCTGACAATGTGTGACTAACATTCTAAAATGAGTCATCCGGTCAGGATCTTGACTATCAGCTGTCATTGAAGATAAATACATGTGCATGAATGTTGCAGTTTCCAGTGATTTGTACTATGCTTCTATTCATGTGTGTGTGTGTGTGTGTGTGTAGGTGTATGTAGGTGTTGATGAGCTTGTTGGATGTTGGGATTTTCCTGTAGACCATCAGGTGAGAAGTGGGGAGGGGGTCAGAGCAGCATCTCCTCCTCACAGCATCAACCCAGTTTGCCATGGATAACTTGCTTATCATGGGTAATTACTTCTCTTCACCGGATATGTCTTAAATAACAAAAGCAGATTTGATCTATCTGCCGTTTGTCTAGCATCCTCACTTTTGTACAAATCTAATATTATTGCCTTTATTAACAGTGCAGCTAATAGATAATTTTCGACTCAGGGCACCAGTCTTTGGAGAACCGTGTTTTATATACATTTATATAGTGATTGTTGCTTCACTTACTTCAAAGGGCTTTGCTCTATTTGGGGATGTTCTTGTGCAACCTGTGATGTGGGGCTCTAGAGCTTGGTCCCAAATCGTATCCTGGTAGCATCACTGATTGTGAAAATCAGTGGAGATATGGAGGTCAAATCTAGTTAGTGTTATCTAATGTGGAGATTACTCCAGAATAAATCTGTCTTGGGTATCCTGCGTGCAGTGTCTCTAGTGAGGCTGTTACCTGTTTTTCACCCCCTGGCCTTGCTCGTCCTGATACACAAAAAAATTATCAGGTTAACCTCCCCTCCCTTTATCCCCATGTCAAGAAAAACTTCAATTATATAAGCGCTTTTGTGCCAGATACTTGTTAAATGCACAGATCATTTAAAAAAAAAACCAAACACTAGTCCACTCTAGTCACTTCCTGATTTTTTCCTATAAATAGGTGGTGTTTTTCTGGTCCAGTTCATAAAATGAGTACAGATCTCCTTTTCAATGGAAACCACTTTCCATCCGGATGAAGTAACAGCCACTTCATTGGGCCTGTGTAATAGGGTGCAGGCAAGAAGACATGGCAGATAAAAAGGCTGGCTAAGACATCTGAGAAATGCTGCTGAAGTCTGCAAAGATTTCACCGGTGCTTCCTTGCTCCTTCCACCCTTTATCACATTTATTTATTTATTTATTTATTTATTTATTTAATTAATTAATTAATTGAATTTTTCAACCGCCCATCTCCCCCCAATGGGGGAACTCTGGGCGATCAACATTTGCAGATCCTCCTCTGAGAAATAAAGGAACAGTGAACCCATTTGCTCCAGATTCAGATATCATGTTCCGCTAGGAGTTAGCACGATAAAAAAAACCTAGCCTACACCTTGTCACGTGAATGATCTTGTCTTTTTCCTCCATAAGCAGGGCCACGAGGAAGAGATTGGAAACTTCCACGGCCATTTCACAAAAGCATGCCATTGAAACTCTAAACTGTGGTTTATGTTAACTGTGCTTTGTTGTAACAAACCAGATTAATGCATTAACAGTTTCTGAAGTTGTCTCACTTCATCTTACCACAGTTAAGATTCATCAGAATGTGTCCAGGTTTAGATGACAGATCAGGCTACAGTTAATTTTAGATACGTGTAAACTTCTTATTTCTCTATAGGTATACTGCAAGGCGTTATATAGGCAACCACTAATGGTCTCTGCAGATAATTCTTGCCATACTTACTGCTAAACTGTAGTTTAGTGTTACATCCGAACCAATTCACTGTCACCAAAAGAGACTGTAACACTGTGTTTTAACTTACTGGGTAGGATGGCGCAGGGGGCTAATTTAAACAGATCTCCCCAGATGCAAATGAATTCTTAAAATAGTTTTCCTCTGGCACAGTAAGCTGAGAGTTGCAATTTTTTTTCACTCCCTCTCTTCAGGCATTTGCCTATGTTTAAAGATAGGTGGGAAAAGCAGATGGTTGAATCTTCATTAGATGCAGCATTATCTGAAATATCACAAAAAGACACCCTGCCTTGAAACAAAAAAGGTGTGACCAGCTTTTCTGATTAAAAAGGAAGCAGCCCGTCCAGGTTATGCCTTCCCACCAAAAAATTCCTTCAACTGTTTTTTCTTTTAAGGGAGATCTTATTTTATCGGTTGAGACTTATGTTTTCCACAGATAAAGCCTATCTAAGATGTGAATTTAAAAGGAATAATTTGCGGCTGACAATAAATGAAAAGTGTTCTTGTTACAGTTCCTGGATCTTTGCAACATCTTTCCCACTGGTTAATGGGTCTTCTGTCTTATGCTAAAAGCTTTGTGAATTAGCTGTCAAGCAGAACGTCTCAAGAAACATTTACATCATTAATAAATTTTGCCCATGCTTTCTCTAACTTAGGTGTAAGATCATTTAAGCCTTCAGGAATGAGTGGCATAAAATTAAAGTAGATCAGCAAATAATGTTATTGTGCCTACTGAAGAATTCTGTCTCATATGTTAAAAAAAGTCACCAATTGCCCAATTTGCACCAACTTCCTGATCTCCAAACAGCAAAAGAAATTCTTCATGACTGATACTGCTTTTACGTCAAGAATTCCTTTCTCTTTTTTATAGTCGTAAAATTGCAATCCTAGGCACGCTTCTTTGAAAGTAAACCGAATGGAGTGAGAGTTACTTCTGAGAAAGCCTTGTAGAAACTGTGGTTTTGGATAGAATTTCCCCTGGCATTCTTAAATGAAAAAAAGTGTTATAAGTAATTAAGGTTCAGTTGTGCCTGCCTGTCCCAGTAACTGGGTTGATGGCTTTCATTGTCTTAGCTGCAATCTCCAGGTGACGCAGACCTCAAAAACACCGCATTTTCTTTAAAACCCTTGAAAACAGGGCTGAGCCAAAATCCGGACTCAAAGGGCAAAACGTGATTGAGAGCACATGTGGGTGAACCAGCTTGCCTCTGTCAGGATTTATTTATTTATTTATTTATTTATTTATTTATTTATTTATTTATTTATTTATTTGAAGCAGCTACATCTTTTCCTTGGCAAGTGTGGCTGCCCTTGGACGCTGCAGATCTCTGCGAAGTCCTGCTTGAACACTGTCCTTCCAACGTGCAGAAAACCGTACTCAGGCAGGGCGCCAATAAAACGCATGGCCTACAGAAGCCAGAGCGTAGAGATGAGTGCAGTGTTTTTCAAACTTGGCAACTTTAAGATGGGTGGACTTCAACTCCCAGAATTCCCCAGCCAGGATGAAACTTTAACTGGCAGCTAGTGTTAAGCAGTGCTAGTGGAGTTGGGTGATTCCAAAGCCTGTGCAGCTTCTGACATAGTACAAGTCCATGGAGGGAAGGAGAAGGGACGGGGTGCTAAGTTGGTTTCTTCTTAGAAGCTAAGCCACTATCATTTTAATATTAACAACTTGCTGAAAGGATTAGCACTATTTATGCACGGTCAACAAAAAAAGCTTGGTCCCAAGTTGCTTTAGCAAAATTGTACCAGGTGAAAGAACATCTGTATGATGCACCTGGGCTGTAACTCCTCAGCCCCAGAATATTTTATGGGCACTTTAAATCTGCCATATTCCAAGTAGTAGTAGTAGTAGTAGTTCCTTGCAGTATTATAGGTGTATCACTTTCACCAACTGGGCTGCCTGAACATATAAAGCAGTGTTTCTCAACTTTGGGAACTTTAAGATGTGTGGACTTCAACTCCCAGAATTCCCCAGCCACCAACCTTAAAGTTCCCAAGGTTGAGAAACACTTGTATAAAGTGGGAGCTGAAGTCCATACATCTTAAAGTTCCCAAGGTTGAAAAACACTGGTATAACTGGTATAACCTTGATAGTATCGGGGTTTTCTCTCCATTACTTCTGGGTCCTAATTTGGCCTTTTACAAGTCTTGTTAAATAGCCAAAGAGATGGGAAGGGCCTCCTTGATTCTTCCTCCTTCTGAGTTTGATACAAACTGCTAAATAAGAACCATTACCTTCCTTAATAATGGTTTTTTTTGGGGGGGGGGTTGCATTTGTGGTTATAGAATAAAGTTAAAGGGTATGGCAGGGCTATACATTCAGAAAGAGTATAATTTGTAGTGGATTACTATTTCCTCATTTCTTACTCTAAAAACTTTAATTTCTCTGATAATCGGTAGGAATTCTGGCTAGAGTCTTGCTTCGTATTAAGCCAAGATTTGTTTTAAACAAACTAAAGTTAGAAAACTATGGTTTAGCATGGTGTGTGAAGCCAGCCAGAATCTCTGCAAATGGCATGCAGCTTTTCAATATTCATTGTAGAAAAGCGGCTTCATTTTTGAGGGAATCAGAAGTGTGACTCCCTTGCGTGCTTTCTGGAGTATTATTTCAAGGATTTCCCTGTGATGTTTTGCTGAATCACAGATCATTAGCCAATGAAGAAGCAAATAACCCAAGAAAGTTGGTAAATCAGCATCTCTCTCAGTAGACTGGTTTCTGTTGAATATCGGTTTGAAGTCAAACCTGTTCTCTCGGGATATGAAGTAACCATTTCCTTTATCAAACGTATATCTCTTCCATTGAATATTTTTAATGAAGTTATGAAACAGATGAATAGTGGGTGGCCCCTGTATGTGCCAGTCATTGTTTCAAAGCGGGCAGAACCAGGAGCAATGAACCTTACAGGAGGATTCCTGAAGATGATTCCAGACTTGGAGAACTCTACGCAGGTTCAACCAAGCCTGCCTCCACTTACAGGTCTGCTTCTTGCTGGGTGATCCATTCTACCTCTGTCTGAGCACCGAACTGAATTTTCCTAAGCCCAGTTTATTTTGTGGTCTGAAGTTTTCTGCTTTTTTCTTTCTCGCTGTAAATCCAGTCTCAGAGAACATACTGTAAGGTTTCTGGGTCGGGTCTCAATTGTTGTTGTTGATGTCTTAGGAATGTTGATGTCTGAAGTAATTTTTATCTGTACA